GCTGTAACTATTTTTCCCTGCCTGAAAGGTAAAAGCAAGCACCACTGCATTCCTGACATGACCTGACAAACCCCAGTCTAATGGGGCAAAATGCACATTGTCAGTGGAGAAATCACCTAGATTAAAAAGCTAAGAGTGGCCAGATGCAGCTCCAGCCACACATACTGTCATGCTGTCAAATATGCAGGAGCATGCATTCATTTGCTTGGTCACTGAACTAAGCAAAATAAAGGCCTCCAGCCACCAGACATGCTAACACGAAGGAGAACCGGAGACCATGATTTGCATTAATTGAAAAGTCATGTCCAGACCTCAGCCCCTGCCCCCAGAAAATACAGGGCAAAACTCACGAATTCCAGGAATGCAAGGAAAGAGAACCAAAGAACACAATTGGATTTCTACCTAAGTTTAGAAATCAAAGTCTACTGATCTAATGTTTTAGCAGAAATCCTTTATTAGAAACGGCAATAAAACCCAGTTGAACAACTACAGCACAGAACATGTTTTATTCCTTTAGATAATCATTTATTAACTTCATGTCGACAAGAACAAAGTGATCATGAATTATAATATTATTCCCTGGCTTGGAGTAAAAATGCCTACCTTATTTCTGCTGAGGAAAGATTTGTCACTTCTCCCAGGGACCCATTATTTGGGGGAGGAACTTAGGCAACCAGTTGAATTATACATTTTCCTAGTTTCCTATACTTGCTACTTTCATAAAGTATGTTAAACACAAAATGAGGTCTATTATTGCACTTTAATTTTAGCAGTTGCTTGCTTGTGAGGATCAAAGGGAGCCAAAGGCAGGTTTCCATTTAAAGCACTTAAGGCAAAATTGTTGCGGGGCAATTTTTCCAGAGTGGGTCAACTACATCCCCCAGCTTTATCACACACCTGTATCTCAAGCTTTTTGTGTAGACCTTGTGTTAAAAATTCCAGTACCACAATCGAGGAAATTCAGACACTGACTAGATGTTGGATGGTATTAAGAAATCATTGTTTTCATTTAGATGTAAAGTGGTGTTTTGACTATACATTGGATAAGTATTTCTCTCTTTTGAAATACATAGTGAAATATGCTATCTGGAATTTGCTCCACAGCAACCCACTTGGGGAGGGGTAGGAGTTAAAGATGGTAGAGATGAACAGGATTGTTTATGAGTGAATAATTTTTGAAACTGCGTGATGGGTTCAGGATAGTTGATTGTAATATGCTCTCAACTATTCTGTGTGTATGAAATTTTCCATAATAAAAACTTTTAAAAATGTATTTGGATGTACTGTGTGTTATTGTGGTCCTGATTCTACCACCTATGAACCGTGGAACATCAGGAAAATTGCTCTCCGAGCCTGTTTCCTGTGTGTCCTTCTCCTAGGAATCACTATCCATCGGAAGTGTCGTGAGAAATGAATGGGGTCATATAAAGTGACCAGCAAGCAGTAGTTACTCAGTGAAGGAGAGGGCATTTTCATCACGGCCCGATTTCTTCTTTCGTCCCAGGCCATTCCTCCCAAGTAGAGTCTGTTACTGGCCCTGAGTTGAGTGGATTCTTTCCTTTTGTCTACTTGTCAGCCAGAGTCTAGACTGAGCTCAAACTTCTGCTTACTTTATGAAATCAGATAGGGCTTCAAGAATTCAGCTTGCTGCGTGGAAAGCTAGAGTCTTAATCTCCTGTGTGACCTCCCTTCCAACTCCCTCCCCTTTCAAAAGAACACAAATATACATTTGGATTTTCCATAAACAAGAGCACGTGCCAAGCAGGTTTGTGCAGATTGCGGAAAAATGTTCTTTTGATTCGGATCCTGAAAACACATCACTGAATGATTATACTAAGAAACAGCATCAACACGAGCTCTCTTACCAAACCAGTTGAAAGTTGTGGCTGCCTACAAAGAACTAATAAAACAAAGTTACAAGAGGTAACTGATGAAATATTTCAGTAGTGCTGGTCTTGTGGACATTTTTTAATTAAAATGCCTATTTTACCAAACAGGGCATTGAATCATTCTGAATGTTAATGACGTAAACAAAAGGGAACGATGGTCTAATGATGTACAGGTAGTGGACCTACTACGCTGAATTTCTTTAAGAGAGATAAACCAGTGAAAATAAATACCATATTCTTCCAAGAGAGTTGGGAGAGAGGATTATAAATGGAAGACTATCTCAATTTAAGTTAGAAAGCAAAAGTATTTTCCACTTTTCAAACCTTAAACTTCACCTTTGGAGGATGAGGGTATTATTTTCCCAACTGTAGTACCTTCTTTCTATGTTCTAACACTGTGCTGGGCATTGAAAGTATGAAGTAGTCATCGTAAAGAAAAATTATTCCAACAATCAACGTTTACTAAGCACTTCTTGTGTGCCGGGCACTGTTTGGAACACTACATGTATCCACTTACTTAACAGATATCGAGCATCTGCTCTATGGTAGGCATGTTCTGGCACAGGGCATAAAAAGCACAGAAATTCCTGCCCACGTGGTGCAGACAGTAAACAAAATAAAATGAATTCGGTCACCAAAAAGACTGTATAAGGTAGGTGCTTTATAATTCCCATTTACATATGAAGAAACTGAGGCACAGAACGGGTGAGTCTTTTCTTCCATATTCTAGAAAGCAGTAAAGCTGGACTTTGTATCTAGGCATTCTCTCTCCAGAGCCCAAACTCCTTATCATTATATTTATGCCTCCTCTAGTTCTATTTTACCAACCCCAAATGGGCCCAACTAGAGTAGATCCAGTGGGCACTGTGACTAGGACACCGTGTTGCCCAGAGTCACACCTGGACAAATTGTGAGACGGACGCGTACTGAGGGAGATATTTCAAAGGCAAGATGAGGTCTAACAAAATCCATGCTGGCCATTCCACCCATCAACTCAGGCCAGCCCCACCAATTTGGCCTTCTGCCACTGGCCTTTGGCTTTTTGTCTTAGCCATTAGTATCACAGCGTCTTAAACCCTGAGAGCTGGTAGGAATTTGAGATAATTCTAAATCCCCTTTAAGCTGAAAATGAGCCTGTGGTTGGCATCTTTCTTCCCAGACCTAAAATTAAACCTGTAAAGCTCCATATCACATTTCTAATTTTTTTTTTCTCCCTAACCTTTCTGCCACTTTAATCTCTTAACCCCAAATCACAATTGGTACAACGGCTCTGGGCCTGGCCGTTTCAATCAAATTCCTACTGGATATAGGCTTTGCAATACCAAGACTGCAAGGGCAATTAACTTTGACAAAATAAGGGTCACACCTAATTTCCTGAGAAACTCATAAACTTGCTATAATCCAAAATAATTGGACATCCATCAAAGGGGCTCATATCATAATTCTCTTGAGAGATCATTATATAATCTTCCAGTTTCATTAATTCGCCAGAAATATAAAGCACAGGTTGATAAGCTTAGTCCTTATCCTGCTGCGCAAAGAAAAACCTGAGGTGCTGGCAGCTTTTTAAGACATTCTTCAGGCCCTACCTGCCCCTGGGAAATTCTTTTCACACCTTTATAATCTTTTCCATTGACTTTATGCCCAAGGGAAGCAGCTGAATCAGTGTAGACACAGGATCGCTACATTTACTTCCCAGCTGCATGAGATCTCCAACTTAACGTTTAAGTAGCACGCACCTATTTGGTAACCCCAGTGTTGTGAAAGAGTGGACAAGCTGTTATAAAGATGTGATTTTTCTCGTATGTGTTGTTAAAGTCCCAGAAAATCATCCACGTCATGGTAAAAGGGGAACACAGGCCAGTTGCGTGCTCTGCTCTGCTGTCAGAGAGGAATGAAGACATGATCTAAAACCAGTAGAAACACGCACATGTGCTTTGCGCTTTGGCCTGCTGGTTGGATGTTCTGGGTGGTCCTCTTTCACCAGGCTCCTCAAGGCTGCTCAGAAACCCAGGCGTCTGTGTCACCACCAGGCAGTTTGAATATTTTGCCACCGTTCCTCATTCACCTCTGAACTTCCTGGTAGATAAAGGCCCAGAACTGACCACATTCCAGGTCTTCACCAAAGAGTCTCAACATAGACTGTTTGCTCAAGCAATTAGAAACACCCCTCCTGTTTTGCCACGTGTTTTTGTTTGATTGATAGTAGTGGATGGGGCTGTGTTTTTTAACATTTCAGTAATTATGCCAACCTTACTATCATATATTTCTTCATCAAATGACTTGAACCAAATATTAGGAAACTGCATGGAATATTTTGGTCATCATCTCCTTCTACCAGGACTGATTCTTAAAATCAAAAGTGAAAACTACTCTAAGCCCCTGTTCTGCTTTTTTTTTTTTTTTTGCCAGTCTGTCAAGTTATCTGTTTTTAGCAAAGGCTATTAAAAATTATTTTTAGTTTAAATGCACAGACTCTTCTCTAAAAGTAGTGATGCTAGTTTCCTGGATAATAGACATGAACATTTGCAAATAGACATTGGTTTTCCACACTATATATATATATTTTTTTTTTTTTTTTTTTTTTTGAGACAGAGTCTCACTTTGTTGCCCAGGCTAGAGTGAGTGCCGTGGCGTCAGCCTAGCTCACAGCAACCTCACACTCCTGGGCTCAGCAATCCTTCTGCCTCAGCCTCCCAAGTAGCTGGGACTACAGGCATGCGCCACCATGCCCGGCTAATTTTTTGTATATATATATTTTTAGTTGACCAATTAATTTCTTTCTATTTTTGGTAGAGACGGGGTCTCGCTCAGGCTGGTTTCGAACTCCTGACCTTGAGCAATCCGCCCGTCTCGGCCTCCCAAAGTGCTAGGATTACAGCCGTGAGCCACCGCGCCCGGCCTATATTTTTTAATTATTGTATCATTACCCACGATTTATTCTACTCTGAGGAGCCTCCCAAGCATTAAGTGAAACCGGCCTGAGCCAACTTTTAAAAGTCATTAACACCCTTCTAGTATTTATTCAAGGACATTTCATCTATTCTTCCCCTAAAAACAAGACCACATTGGTTTGCTTTCACCCTTAATAGCGCAACACAAATCACTAACCAGTGTTAAGGCTGACGAGCCCAGCAAGGGCTGCTCACTCCACAGCCAGGCTCAGCAAAGGTGCATCTGCCACAGCAAACAAAGGGCCCAGAATTGAAAACATCTGCTGGCTGCTCTGGTTCCAACCTGTTAAAATTGGGAAATGAATGATTAAAATCACTTCATTAACTATAGGGACTAGAGACGCTATATTAGGTATGTTATCACTCACATATGGTACAGTTTAGTGTCTAGATTCTACTGGGAAAGTCCCTAATCTGTAGAATATCAGTAATTTATCTCCATCCGTAGACAGCTACAGCATTGCTAACATTAAAAAAAAAAATCTTAAAACATCCATTTTTCCTAATGTTTGAAAAGAAATGGTATGTAGCTGGTCAGTAGAAAAGAAAGTAGGATAGAGCATCACTAGGTATTGGTGGCTTGCTTACAAACACATAAGGGCACTCTTTTTCAGTTTTACAATACATAGATCTGGTATTTGGGTCAATATTTATGACCCTTTGTACAAGTTAACAGCCTGCTTTTGCTGTTGTATTTTGCTTTGACTCACTTCTCAATCGACTCATTGATTTCTGGACTCTAGTGCAGGCAACAATAAACTACAAAAATACCAAGGTTGGTGGCACTAAGACAAATTAGTCATTGATTCTCTATTGCTGCCCCAAGGCTCTGAGCACAATTACAAAGTGCAGAAAGTTTGGGTTTCTTTAGTTCAGTCTGTTTCTTTGATCAGATTCTCAACAGAAGCACACTTAGCACTTGGGGCATGACAGTCCTTTGTATAATCTTATCCACTGCAACTGTAGGTTATTTAATAACTGATAGTTCCTGGCATGGAAAACAGTAGTAGTATCCTCCCTCCCAGACCCACACATATGCACACTCCGTCACACCAGGCATGCCCAATCTCCTAAATATCCTGTTCTTTCTGCTGCCTTGTAGCTGTCCAAAGTACTTCATTCTCCTAGATTTTTTTCTCCCTTATCAATACCCTTTTCTCCCTCTCCCTGCAAAATGCCTACATCTTGGTAAAATGCCTTAGGCCAAATAGTTCAATACAATATTTGTTGAATTAAGGATTAATAAGTGTTCTGACACTTGCCATTTGTAAAGATAAAAAGCAATTTAATGACCCAATTAAAGTAATTCACAGTAAAGTCTCGATGACTAATAGACTTAATCTGTTTAGGGGTAATTGCATATGAAGAAGAAGAAATAGTCCTACCCACAGCCTTCCCCATAAGCCTCCCTCCCACAAGCGAGAATCACGAGCTCAAAACTCCTTTCATGAAAGGTTGGTGACTCCTCGTACAGTGGAAAACTTAGGAAACCCTCTTTTAGACTATGAAAAATAAATAACCATAGCAATTTCATTCCTCCTACGTCACTGAGAAAACCAGGGCCCGATTAGTGTCATTATTTTCCCATTCTCCATGAGCAAGGCAAGGTGAAAATGAAGGGAGAAGAAGTAAAATGCCCTGGATTTTCAGGTTGTACCTAAAATTGCCGGGTCTTTCTCACTCTGCTTGCGACAAGCTCACCAGAAACCCAGGACATATCTTTTCAGCAAATGTCCCAAGGCTCCACTTTATTTGTCTCCTGAAGAAACATGCAGTTTTATTTAAGTTTTATTAAATACAGTCCGTCCTCCCATAAAAATTACAATAAAATTCAACATCCCAAGTCCAGCGATATGGCTAATAATATTGCCCTTGGGAGCCAGTACATAAAATTTTGGAGGGCAAGGAAAAAAAAAAAAAAGGTTTGACTTTCATTTTACAAAAAGCCATAATGGGCACTTTCTCCTTGTGCAGTTGCATTGCTGTCTCACTTCACAAATACTTAGAGAAAACATTAGCGCTCTTAAAGTGATCTGAATGTCTTTCTTTTGGGGGGGTGGGGTGTCTTGGTACTACCATTAAGTTGAATTGATTTAATTGCAAGTGAAGAAATCCAGTATGTTCTCTGAGTTCTTTTCCATTTTTCCCTTAGCAAGGGCATTTTGCGTTGAGGTCACTAACAGTCAGCAAGAGCAGAGGCAGGCTGTGGTCAAAAGAAACCACAACCATCGGAAAACACACTGATACTGTTTCTTTTGTAGTTGTCATTCATTGGTGGTGTCATCCATCATGTGATATTGTGCAAGCAGTCGTTTTTAGCCCTACTGTGCAAGAACAGAGACAGATTATGCTGTTTTTCCTGGAAATACATGAAAGAAGTGCCACAGCTCCCCCTTGGAGCTGCCAATGATAAAAAACCTGTTCGCGACATCCAGTTGCAGTTCTGTGATCAGCTCCTTTGAGGAAAATCCATCTTAACGCTTCCTGTTATTCTTGAAGACACTTTTGTAAAAATGACTTCATTTAATCACTTATTCCTCTACACTCAGTGATTTCTGCCTTCTATAAATCATCTCTTGCAAATGGAAATTACAGTTCACCAGCTCATTAAAATGTTCTTTATTGGGGCTTCGACATAGACAGCAAGAAAGATAGAACACATGAGAATTGTTTCCACATTGTTGTTTTATGTGAATATATGTGTATACTTGTATGTGTAAAAAAAAATCATTTTTAATTGTATCATAAAAAACCTAAGTTTGATTTTTTTTTAAATTAATAGCACAGCATGCCCGATATAGCTGATAATAGAGTGATGTACCCCCCACTATTGCTAAGGGAGTAAATTTCTAATGTTCTCATTTAAAAAAAAAAAAAGGTTAAATATTTAAGTTGATAAATATGTTACTTAGCTTCATTTAATCACCCCACGTTGTATTCAAAAATCATAAAACCACTTTATACCCCATAAATAATATGACTATAATTTGTTGAGAATATGCGGAATCAACTTAGCTCATTCTCATTCTCCTATTCATAACCTAAGTCCAGTCCTATACTTGACATATTTTAAATATATCTTGCATTAACTTAGAAGTGCAAAAAAGTATAATTATATAATGCCTATTGACATACCCATCATCCAGCTTAAGAAATAAAGCATTGCCAACATGGATGAAGCCTCAAAGAACCCCTTTCCAATTTTCTCCCTGTCCCCTACAAGTTAGTCACTGTTCTGAATTGGGTATTTCTTACCCTAACGGATTTCTTTGTACTTTTACCACCCACATTACCTACATATGTATCTTTAAACCACAAGCATACAAGTGGTATGTTTTTACCTTTATATGGCAGTATGCCATATGTTTTCTCCTGCACTTTTGTCTTTTTTTTGATAATCTATGCTGTATTTGTGAGATTCATCATGGTATACTCTTATCATGGAATAATATATAGTAGTGAAAATAAAGAAGTATAAAGGTGTTGGGTCTTGTCTTCACCTGCATTCTCACTACCGGGGCCTTGTTACGGCCTCTCTGCACTTCCTACTTGGATCATTATCACCGTTGTCTCAACTGGCATCCCTGCCTCAAGTCTCTAAAGTAACTTCCGTTACACCACCAGAAAAATGCCTAAAAGTGCTACTTTCACGATACTAAATTGCACAAAAAAATATTCAGTGGATCTCTGTTCTTTACCACGTCAGATCCAAGCTCCCTTGTCTCACTTTCAGAATATCAGTGTCATGCCCACATACCTCAGTCCACCGTGGAGGTCACTTGCAGCTTCAGTGGGCAGTTCCCATGCACGTGTGTGGTTTCCTGCTTCAGCTATCCACAGGGCTTCCTGCCTGAGGCTCTGGCTGCAGGTGTGAGCTCAGCCCGTAGTGGGGTAGGCCAGGTGAGTTATTGCCCCAGGATAGAAGGAGGGCCGGAAGTAGGTGGATAAACACCTAGCTTTCTTGCCCACACTGGAACAATTCTGAGATGTGGTCTTTTAGAAAGTCTTTAGCAAGATGGACCCCCAGTTGTCCATAGTGGCAACCTATTCATGCACCTAACATTTATGGGTGTTTCCCCCCTTTCTGTCTCACCTGCCCACTCTCCATGTGTGCCACCTGGGTTTACCTTCCACTAAAGCTGCTTGTACTTGAGTCCTTGCCTCAGGGTTTGCTTTTTGGACAACTGATACCAAAACTGGCCTAGATAGTGACCCTCAGGATGAGATTCTGGAATTGGATCACTTGCCAGCCAGAGGGCAAGAACCATCCTCCGGATAATGGCAAGTGGGGTAGTGATCATCCTACTAGGCTGCAGCCTCACGATCACTAAAATGCTCACCTGTGGTGACTCGAGTCCAGGTAGAGGGGCTTATGCATTTACTCTATCATTGGAAATTTATAACACTAGTTTGTGTACATTCTCTAGCCCTGGAACGATATAAGAGCGGTGAAAATTGTAAAGGTTGTAGAGTTTGGATAGTTTTTGCAAATGTCCTAGAAGCCTTAAAGAAAGAGGCACACCTGGATAGCTAGCTGACAACTCATATGTTTTCTCATAATTAGCTGATTTATTTTTAAAATCTTACATCGGATATGGTATAAAGCCCTAAAATTTTTTCTAATGTTGTAGAATGACTTATATTCTACTTTCTGTTATCGATGACTGAAGACACACGCTTATCCCTATTAAAACAGAGTAAAGGAGATACTTAATGAGATTAAGTCTTTCTTAACTCATTTAAAGCCCTGATCCATACCCGAAGTGCAATAGATACCAAGTATATCCCGATATATCAATCTCTTGTTTAATATTTAATGTATTTGATGTTCAATAAATATGTTGAATACATTCAAGAGAAAGTGGCATTTACTGCCACATGTACTATCATTTTTTTGTTGTTCCTTCTAATTAAGAAAGAATGAAAATGACTTAAAAGCCACTCTCTATAGGATTTGTAGAATTTTTAAAGGTAATTTTAAAACTATAGTTTGGAGCAATATGACATTTAAATTACAGGAGACATGGTATATCCAATAGAAGTAACTACAAATTATTCTTTTTCTTACAGTCTTCCTGCATCATAACCAGGAAAAGACAAGGCAGTCACATAACTTCTCTATATCTTAGGTGATCCCCAAGTATGAAATCTCTTAGACTGAAAGTACGACATCTATAAGAAAACTCCATATTGCCTCATAATAACAGCAAGGATTTTACCTATAAATAAATTATGGTTAAACTAAAATAAATTACGTTAAACTCACACAAAGCAGGGGCAAGG